CAAGAGTGAAGTCAAAAACAGTCATGTCACTTGTCCTTAAAGTATAAAATTGTTGAGGTTGTTTCGGTCTAAGAAAGGTGTGCTGGGCACAGAGAAATGGAGAAGAGAATTCCTGAAGCTGATGCTAATTTCTGCTTTTTTACAGATTTACAGAAGTCAAAAATATGAGCAGTACTTAGTAGTACCATTGTTTTTCCTTTTTCTTTTTTGTAATTGATATCAATATAATTCATCATGAAGGATTTTAAATATAAAACAATATTGCCAAGTCCAAAACCCAAGAAATAAACAATTTTGAAAAATTTATATGTTGAAGCAAAAACAAAAGTATCTTCAACAAAATTTGGTTGCAAAGGATCAAGATTATTCTGCGTTTATTTGACATTAGTTTAGAAACAGGAACACTTGAATACTTCTCTTCCTGTTGGAAACCCAACATAGTCCCTACTCAGGATTATTTTTGAAACTTGTTGGACATTGTTTCTTTATGTTAAAATAAATATTTTTCATCTGTGGCTTGCCATTTAATGTATGAAATTACTTTTAAGTGCTTGAGACTGCAGAAATCTGAGCTTAACAAGCATAAGCCTGTACATGTTTACTATGTAGTAAGTCTCATTGAGTTCAGTGGTTCTTACTCCAGGTAAATATGCATAGGGGAGGATGCATCTGTTTAGCTCAGTTTACGCCATGTGAGTTAGGATGGAAGTGAGGAATGTGAGTCCATTGAGCTGGGTCTTCAGCACAAAGAAATGTATGCAGACATATTCTGTCTTAAGTACCACTGAGTTCAGGTGAATATGCTTAGGACTTCAAGTCCTGTTCAGTCAGTATACAGTCCCTACTACTATCATGTGTAGAAGCAGAACATCTGCTACGGGGAATCTCTGTTTGGGGGTGCTCCACCAACTGTAGATCCTGATATTCAAGAAAGCCTCAATGGGTAGAGGAGGTTCTCAGTGGCATAGATAAATCCTCTACATGAGGAGGGTGGCAAGAGGATAGTAGGGTAGTTGTTTTTCTCTCTGTCCCCCTTGATGTGGCAGCCACGGTTTCCTCCCTTCTCCTGTCTGTTTCAGCCATTCTGCATCTCTCATCCATTTTCTTCTTTCAATTCTCAATTAATGTAAGATTCAGCTTCCCCAAATGTATAGGTAATTATTTGGAGAGGGGTTCATCCCCTTTTCAGGTAAATATACTGTTTGTAAATGTTCAGTTTTGGAAAAGAACTACTATGGATTTAAGTTACATATGTGATTGGATGAGGAATCTGAGAAACAAAAGACGAATTAGATTTGGAAGAAAGTTGAAATACATTCTATAACTCTGAATCATAGGGAGTCAAAGTGTAGTACTTACTTTTTAGTTTATTTATTCATTTAGCATGTTTATTACTGGGAAAGTCAGACTGGATAGTTTCCAAAAACATATTGGAAAAAGTCTACAATAAACCATATCCATATTATTGCCAACAATACTACATAAAGTTACTAGAAATTGAGGTTAATTCAAAGGAGACTACATAACAATGACAACAGTGATAATGAGGAGGAGGAGGAGGAGGAGGCGGCAGCAGCGGAGGGGATGAAAGCATATATATTGACTGGACATGGTGAGACAGAAATAGAAAGAATAGTTCCAGTGATAGTGAATGTACAAGCACACTCTTGCCCCTGCTCACTTTGCAACATATGCTCCGCTAGTAATTTATAGTTTTCTAGATACGTTCTTCACTTCTGAAGAGCTCAGGGGTGAAGGGAATCAAAGAATGTAACCACAAAAGGAAACTGTCAAAAACTTGTTTCATCATTAAGAGGTTATTTTTAATTGCACTTTATGTAGCTGTCAGCTGTAATTTCCAATCCTGTCCTGGACCCTGTGTGTGGTATGTGTGTATTTTGTTTTGTACATTTATACCCTCCCTTTCTTCCATCATGAAACTACCCCTGGCTCCTTCTTCAGAATTCTCATTTGAAGGATTTTCCCTCCCTCCCTCTTCTTTTTCTCCTCCTCATCCTGTCACATGCATTATATGAAGCCAGTTCAGATTACTGTTTCTTATTATTTGTTTTTAGACTCCAGTATTTAAGCTTGTCTTTGGGATAAACCTTGAATATTGTTTGTTCTTCTTTTTTTTTTTTTTACATTATGTGACTTTTAAAATGTGTGTTACCTGATCTTTTATAAGTTGTTTTTCTTTCTAAGAAGTATTAGTCACTATGACACCTTGAGTGACTCTGTGTTGAAAAGGAAAGTCTATTAATATTTTAAATAAATATATGTTTGCCAGAATAGTAGCTGGCAATTCTTTCTCTGTTAGTTCTTAAGAATCAGTTGCATCAGTTGGGGAAGACTGCTATGAACTCTTAAGTAGCTCCCACTTTTGTCTTTTTCTTTTCTTCTTGAACCTCTTCAAATATTCTTACATGTTTTTGGATCTTGGTGGGCAGAGAACATTTTAGGACACATAAGATTTTTTTCTTCTCTGTGTTTATGTTTAATTTATGAACTAATATTTTTCAGCATGCTTGTAGAATAGCACCAGTTTGTGTGTGTGTGTGTGTGTGTGTGTGTGTTTGTAGCTTATATGTGAGTAATCCTATTTTATTACCCTATCAACATAGCAGTGAAGTATGTTGTTAAGATGATTGTGAGAGAACTAATACCCAAATTTGATCTTGATATATATGTTAAGGCTGACACATTTGTTTTCATGCATGTGGGCTAATATAACTTGATCATTCCATTCTTTTTAAATGTCTACTAACTAAAAAAAAATTCAATATTGCACCATCATTATCATTGCCATAATTAACAATTACATTTTGTAGTCCAGCTTGCTGTTCCATATGCATTAATGAAACACACACACACACACACACACAAAGAAAATGCTGAATCCCCAACTCGAATTACATTTGTCTTTCTTTTAAAATGAAACATACTATGGAGATGTTTGTTTCCTAATTTGTATATGATATTTTCAGAAGTCACATGGAACATTTAAGATCCAGATGTAAGCTATACTAGATTAATAGCATTACAGCATTTGCTGAAAACCCACATCAATCTATTACCACTTTATAATGAATGTCTAATTCATGTGGTCAGAAGGATAGATAAAGCTAACTCCAGAATATAGCCTAAGTGTTTGTTTTCAGGTTGTAAAATGTTTAGTATGACAATAATTAAACAGTGATTAATTATATTCCCAAAGTTCTGCGAACACTGACAGAAATGTGATTGTGCATATTCTTTTTGTCATTGGTCCTAATTTACCTCTAGAGATCATTTATTTGTCACAATGTAATGGAAGTTCCCTCCTAAATTTTTACATATGTCAAAATCATCAAGTAATATAACTATTCTCTCTGTAATTTTACAAGAAAAAGATCCATTGGTGTTACCTTGGACACATAACTTGGAATGAATGTTCATTAAAGATAAAAATAAAAGTTCAACTGGATCTGGAACCTGCTAAATAGTTAAAACTAGAATGTAGAGATTCTTTCTTTCATTATTTTCTTTATCTATCTATCCAAAATTTGAGTTGCCAGATCTGGATGCTTTATCAGATCATCTTGGTTGCATCAGAAATTAATTGATAACATGGTAAGAAGAGATAAACTGGAAAACATCTGCAGGATTTAGTCAGACATTTTTTGAGGACTAAGAGAAATTCTATTCTCTTTCCTCCTCCTTCCCCTTCATTTTATTTGTGATTGGGCCGAACAGAGTTGGTCTTAACAGAGAACAATACTACAGCATAATACATAAATAATATAGACAGTGGAGAAAATAGTATTGTAGTACAAGTCTGTACATATAAACTGGAAAATAGCTTTTGTTGCATTCAGCAACAAGTTTGTGACCTGGTTAATACTGCTTTCCTCTAAATTTAAAACTAATAAGTATAAAGAACAGAGTAAGGAAGTATTTAATTATACTATCATAAACCAATAATTCAATAGGTTTTTTTTCATTCAGTGTCCACTATTTCATAACCTTAGATTAGCTATGTCTGTGGTAAAATGCTTCTGATTTCCTATGTCAGAATATATTTTAAGCAAAATCAGTGGTGGCATCCTAAATTGGCAAGTTGATCCATGTTGGTTCAGAGTTAATTTATAATGACAAAAGCAGAACAAAAAAAAAGCTCATTAGAAAACTTACCAAATAGCTGTATGAATTGGTTCCTAGTTATAATAAACTTGTCATTTGCCTAGAAAACCTTTATTTAGAAGTCAGCATCATGGAAAAACAAATGAACATTATTTGAATAACTTTTAAAATTAATTACACTGATGCTGTTAATATCCAAAATGGATCGTATTTCACTTCTTCTGCATGCAGGTATAATTCTAATTATGGTGTTGGAATGTACAAAGGTTTGTTATTGAAATTTTACAAATGAAATTCACACGCATTGTCTTTATTACTCTTGGGTAATATTATTATGCAGACTGGAGATGATTGGATATTCATCTTTTAAAGTATTTTATTTTGTAGCATCTCTATAGCAGGCCCACATTTAATAGGCAACCTTTTTGAATTTTTTTTTAAAGAAAAACCCCAAATTGAGTACAAAGGGAACATCAGTATCAAAGGGTTTAGTTCTCATTTTTATGCTTATTGGTGGCTAGTGTCTTTTCATATGGTAATGACTTATATCTCATTATGTTTCCAGGGATTATAATGTGCTTTTTTTCTCATTCTTTTCAAACCCCTGTTTATATGTGTGTATTTTTTTCCTCTGCCTAGACCTGGTTAACCATTTCTGTGAACAGGTCCTCAATTTTTTACTTTGTCCCTACTTTCCTGTCGTAGCCCCATCTTCCCCTGGTGTCGACTCCGTACCCTTACAGCGCACAGGCAGTCAACTCGGCACACAGAATGCATCAGCGACTTTCCAGAGGGCCAGCTATGCAGCAGGCCCTGCCTCCAATTACGCAGATCCCTACCGACAGCTGCAGTATTGTCCTTCTGTTGAATCACCATACAGCAAATCTGGACCAGCCATCCCACCTGAGGGAACCTTGGCTAGGTCACCTTCTATTGATAGCATTCAGAAAGATCCCAGGTGGGTGAAACTTTTTTCTATAACCATTCATTCATAAAGAGATTTATAGCTGCAACCATGAGGATCAAGGTGGTAGATTATTGCATAAATAAATAACCAATTTCATATTTTTAAATGTAGTGCTGTTTCATAAGACAAACCAATTGGCCAGCAAGATTGTTACAGAAACTGGGCTTTTATTAGCACTTTTTCAATCTATTAGCATTTTTGACAACAAGAATAAGAAAATGGCACACATAAATGCATATTATAGTGTCCTTCTGTTCTGTCTTCCTGGAACTTCTTCTCCAAACATCTTGCATGTAATTGATTTATGTTAGTGTTTTTAATTACTTTCCTGTTAGTAAAGGATGTGCTTCTTTTTGTTTAAGTATTTTCAAAATGCCATTAGGTTTCCTGTGCTGGGAAGCTGGTGTTAACCAGTGTTTCCAAGGGTATTGTCATATGAATTTTTGATTTAAATATAAAAGGTTGGAATCAAGCTGGGGTTATTAAAATACACAAACAATTTTAATTAAAAATATGCAATTGATTTTTACGAGACTTCCATTGTCAGGTATGTGACTTTCATGGCATTTAAACAGGACAGACAAAAATGCAAAGGGTATCCAGACATCATTGTTGGGCTAGGAGTTTTTAAACCTTGTTTGTTGAACAAGCCATAATGACCTAATTAACATATAATCCTTAAATATAATGGGTGGATTCACACATGTTTACAGTGTGGTAGAGCATTATGTATGAAAAAGGTCATGTTGTTAGGCTTTTGCCTGTTTTATTTAAATCATTTTACGCTTGATGACTTCTTTGTTTTTGTCCTTTTTCTTGTTTCCATTATAATACATTTTCTTTATCTGCCTCGTATTTCACCTTTTTCCTAATAATTTGTATTACAATAAACATTAAAATACTTTAGCAAATTATTTTTTTAAGTATTAATAATATAACATCTATAAAACAAGTAGAAACACTTGCTCAGATATGTAGGGTACCTCAATTTTTCTTTTTAAAATGATTTAAAAATATATAAAAAGCATGTATAATAACCCTGAATGGCTCTTGCTTGTTTTTTACACATGTGGTGAGAGGGGAACAGTATTGAAAGTTGCTTGGTCTAGATAGTTGAAAGCTTTACATGGCCACTTTGCCAGTATTCTGAAATACTTAGGTGATAAAATTCAGAAGTCACTGTGCCACAGAAATTGTTAGATTTCAAATGTTTCTTCTGAAGAAAGATGGCTGTCACTGCTTAACATATCACTTTTTAGCATGTTTCTATGTGGAAGCTTTTTTAGAATCACAAAATGCCTCGTTACATAGTAGCCTATTATTTGCTGGATGACCCCCAACTCATTCCTATTGCATTATAATTTCAAATTTTGATCTGAGGGCAATTCATGTGCACAAATTAGCAGACAGCTGGGAAACTAGGATGGAAGTCTGGAGAACTTCTTCCAGAAATCCTGTGGATCCTCACACCCTGAAGTACCCTACCTCCTGCTTTGGAATATTGGCTCGATAGTTCCCAGCCATCATCCCCTCTATTCCACGAGGCCCTTGCCCCGTGTCCATCCCCTAGCCCCAGTGTGCGAGTACAGTGTGAAATAAGCCCGCAACCTGGGCTGCCTGACTGGTGATTAAGAGAGGCATAATGCAAAATGCAAAAGAAAAAAGAAAGTAATTTAAACAGTGTAACCTTCTGGCCGTGTATAAGCATGTGGCCTATCCTCCTATCCTCCTCACTCACTGGGAGACAGGCTAATCTCACAACAGATAAACAATATCAAACAATTATTGAAGCAGAGAATGTAGAATGTTTTAAAAAAAACACCCTTTTTAAAAAAGGTTTTAGGTATTAAAATGCAAACATTCAGTGTTGGAACAGATAAATAACAGAGCTTGTTAGATCGCAGGAAAACAGCAGCTGACAAATTAAACCAAAAAAGCTCAAAAGAAAATAAAGACCATAAGATGATGCTGATTTTCTACCAATCTGTAAAAAGGTTGAAGTGCGATTCAGATCATAAAAATAATCTAAATAAAAATAATGTCTTCATGCTCAGACTGTGATGTGAATAAAGGCTGAAATTAAACACAGTTCACTGGCTTATACAGAGAAATAACAACATTAGGCAATGAAGCTTGACCTAGCACAACACAGAAAACATAAACCTAATGCAATTCCTGGCTAGACACATTACCTGTAGCACTTTCTGAGGTTAAGGTCTCTCTGCTTCAATTATTTGGACATTCTAGCTTTTTGGAGAGTACAAATGTTAATCAAAGGCTGTGGAAAATAATTTTAGATCCACGCTTTTATCCCAGTCTCATTTCACAGTTTCTTTTTCTCTCCAGCTGGAGGAAGAGCTGAAGTAACTGACTCTCTGGGTATGTGACAAAACGTATCTTTCTCTCAGGATGTGTATTCTGTGTCTGGCCTAAACTGTTGTGAATGTCTGGCACTTAAGCAGCATTCAGAATAAGAACTACAGAATAAATGTTAAACAATTTTGAAAAATGAAATCCGGCTCATCTACTTTGGAAATCCTTAAGCCTAACTGCCTCTAAACGTTGCCTTTATTGTAATTGCTCAAATGTTTGCCACATTCCTTTCTTTTTCATACTTCCCAAGGAACACATGAGGGATCTATATGAAATCCAAGTTTTTTCCAGCTTTTGTGCAGTGAAGATTTCTTAACATGCTCTGTATCTGCATTGCAGTGGGAATTCTGATAAATTCCTAGAAACCTTTGTTAGAAAAAGTTGGAAATTTAGGAAGAGAACTCAGCTTTAGACTGTTTCAGTCAGTGTGCAATTTTACTATTATTTTAAAATGAAACTATTGTCCACAGAATTCCTTTTCTGCACCAGTGATTTATAATGCCTATTGCTACACTGACAGCTTCTATTAAAGTACAAGTTAGACTTTCGTTCTCACAAGTTATACTTGTGCTTCAAATGTTTAAAGCCATGGGTTTGGAATATGTGGGTATATACATGTATTAGAGTTGTACAGTGCTTTGATTCCAGAAAGGTGATTCAGAGCACATGGGAGCAGAAGTGTGGCACTTGTCTGCAATTTTTTAAAGTAGCTATGTCTTTCTCTAGAATTGCACTTTATCCCAGGGAAAGGCATGGTGCTTTAAGAAGTGCAAATAGGAGCTATGTTTGTACACCTTTTTGGAATCAAAATTGTACAACCCTAACACATAAACACACATATATTCTATAAACGTGAGATTAAGAATCTATACTATAAATATAACTTGCAGTGTTTGTGCTTGAAAGAATCACTTTATTGAGGGAGATTATGGCAATGACAAGTGGAATTCTGCAGAGATGGACCCAGTTGTTGGGCATGCAAGACAAAGAGAGCCAATGAGAAAACTCCAGTTGTGCTTGTTATGTCTGTTGTATTAAATCACCAGTTGGAATTCAGACAAATAGGAAAAGCTCTTATATATCATTCATTTTTCTTCCTTTACTAATATCCAAACTAATTATGCAATTTATTGGTAAAACTGAAAAAGAATTGCTAGTACCAATATAAAAAGATAATTGGATAAAAAAGTGGATATACAGGTAGTCCTCGACTTATAACCACAATTGGGACCAGGATTTCTATTGCTAAGCAGTGCAGTCGTAAAGTGAGACGTCATGTGACCGCATTGCTTAGCAACGGCAATCCCAGCGGTCCCGGTTACTGTCGTTAACCAAGAGTCATGGGTTGTTAAGTGAATACCCACCCCAATCCAAACCATTCTGAGTTTGGTCCCTCCCAGCCCTGAGCTTCAGTAAGGTAAGGGACTGCCTCCAACTTCCCCCACTCGCCTGTCTCCCCCCATCTCTGCCCTTTTGGCCGCCCTGCACCCTACCTCGTGGGGTAGCAAGCATCCCCAGAGCCATGTGGCTCTGGGGCTGCTTGCCACACCCCAGGAAGCTGTAGCCACCCCAGCCCAGTCCCAGCCGCAGTTGCCCTCGCCACCCTGCTCTCTGAGACCTCTGCCATCCTGCACTCGCCCCCCCCCCCGCAACTG